TTTATTACTCGATGACCAAAACTTTCTAACAGGAGTGAATTCGAATGAAAGAAGCATATTTGTTTGTAACATTTGTTAATTTGTACAAATCAAGATACGATAGTATTTTTGCCAATAAACTAATAGTGAAAGGTATAACAGGTCATTTGGGATCAAATCATCAATATTATAAACATGAAGAAATCATAAAACTGGACAGTATCGCACTACAATAAAAATACTTCATATACATAAATCATACAGCTACTTATTAGTATACCTATCTAAAAATAATAAAAGGCTCAGAAGATGCATAAGTAAATAAATAATTTAAAATTAATATTTATATAAGAAGGTTCTGAAAATAGACCTAATCAGCATTGCTGTATTAAGTTAAAAATATATTACAACCATTAAAAAATATCTGAACTAGTGGTGCAAGTCAACGTGCCTTAGGGCAAATTGCTGGAACTTTCCGTACCGTAACGAAATGTTCGAGGAATATTAAATGTTATTAAATAGATTATTATAAATACTGTAACATTGTGTAATATTTATAAGAATTATAAAAACTGAATTGCAAAGTTGAAATTATTTGTTTAAATTATATTAGAACTTTAGTCAGAATTCTAAGTCAATCTGCACCAATTCCAAAGATTTAAAAGCCATCAAATGAAACTCGATGAGGATTCTACTAGGTCTAATTTTTGTTTTTTTGACGATTCGAATAAAACTTTGAATCGTGATCATACTAAAATATATAAACGAGGTTTAATCATAAAAATAATTATTAAAACTAAATCTTTCTCGATCTGTATCTCGTGCGCTTAGAGAAATATCTATTACCATCGTATAAGAACCCAATAGTTTTTTTTCCCTAACAAATGTGGGAACGGCCTTGTATTAATATCGCATGACTTTCGAAAATATGTTTGTTATTCTCATTCATTCACTATTTTGACAGAATTAAAATGTACGATATTGCTTATGAACTGATATACGGATTCCCAGGCTAATATTTGAGAGTTCACATCGAAACAATCGAAAGATTATGTAAGTTCATCCAGTTCAATGATAACTGGAGAAATAATTATAGAATTTATATGGACTTGGGCAATCATCTTGAATAGCTTTATATTAATTAGCGTTAATATTTCTAGTCATTAAATTATAAATTATAAATCATAGAAGCGCGTGCACTATTCACTTTTGCAGCATCAATTCAAATAGGGTAATTGGGTAATATAATAAAGCTAAATGGAACTTTCAAATGATATATTATCACTAAAAATTGATATTAATATTAATAATACATTCAATTTTAATTAATTATTATTAATTATTTTTGTAATTAAAACACTTTTATATATTTTAGTATGATCACTATTCAAAGTCTCATTCGAATCGTCAAAAAAAGTTAGACCTGGTGAAGTCCTTATCGAATTTACTTGAGAATCATATTATTTATAGCATTTTTTTTTTTTGAAAATATAAATGTTTTTATAAAAAAAATTGTAATTAATTTTATACAAAGCTAGAAAGCGAAAAAATATAAAAAGTTTTGTACTGAAAGTAAGAATAAAAAAATAATAATAATAAAACTTGATTTGCAAAATTCAAATTGAAATCTGAATTATTTTCGATAGACAAAAAAAATTTTTTTAAAAAAAAATAATTTTTTTTACAAAAGCAATTGTTTTGTCAACACAAGCAAAAAGTTTTTTGAACCATTCAAATCGGATGCTTAGTACTCTCAAAAACTGCAATTTTTTGTACATATAGCCCAGTCATTATAAATTGAGTGTTTTTTGAATCACTCAAATCGGGTACTCCGTTCTCTCAAGAACTCTATTTCTAATCTCTGCACTCTTTGCTCCGTATCTCCGTAACGGCTGGACCTGCCTTTGCCAAAAACTAACCAGCACATCTCCCTGTCAATAGGAATCGAATGTTTTTTAACCATTCAAATTGGTTGATCCGTGCGCCCGAAAACGTGGACGAAAAAATGCGGACACAAAAAACACACACACACACACATCCATTTTTTCTGAGTTACGCCAAAATGTTTAGAAACCTCTGAAACGTGAAAATATGCAAAAAAATCGGCTTTTTCGATTTTCGGTCCATTACTATAACTTTCCCTACGTGAAGTTAATAATAATAACAATAAATAGTAGTCTGTCCGACGGCAGGTCCATGGTATGAGAGAACAACAAATCAATGGTTACCTTTCCCGCCTTGGTTTACTATACCCGTTGCTGTTTTATTACCATTATTCACTTTTTTAATTATAATTTAATTATTTTTAATTTAATTAAATAATTATGAATTTTGATAATCATAATATAAAAATAAATGTATTCTTTTAATGAATAAAATTAAGATGTTAATTTAATTCCCATGAAGAACAACTCATCGACTTAAAATCTAGTGATCAACATTCTGTAGTAGTTTTCGGTTAGTAAGAAATTGGCCACAAAATTTGATGGCAATTAAATTTTGTTTCTATCACTAAGTACAGTTGTAAGTCATATGATAAAAAAACACTTACATTGGTCTCCCATGTGCCCTGATATTACATCTCAGCCAAATTTTAACTGATCAAATCAACAAACACACTACAACTCTGTTACGTATAAACATTTAATTTTCACCTCACAATCAACACTTTGCACAATTTTAACTGTTCAAATTAAATCTCACTTGAAGTCATTATCCCGGTATAATTTCATTTCCAACAATGATTATGTATAGAACGACTGATAAACACTGCCCGACGTCTGACAAATAATTCATGCAATTTCCAACCGACTACCTGCAGAGGGTGTATTTATTTATTTACATGTTTATTTCAAATGTAAACAGCGCTATCGGAGTCAAATTGTGTCAAATAATAACATATATTTAAAATGCCATGAGAAATCGGTATTGGGCGAGCGATCTAACCTATCGACTGGTCGTATAACTTCCATAAAGGTTACTCCTACACAAAGGATGGAGCCAGGTCAAAGGTTACACTAAAGAACATCAATTCTGCAATTTCTATTCCTTTGCGATATAGACGGAGAGCTGATGGTCTTATTTACAATTAGAAAAAAAAATATTATTTAAATTAATAAAAAAAAAATTGAATTTTAAATGTCCATACACGGACGTCCCTTGATGGTCCGTATAGGTGCAGGTATTAATAAAAAAAATTAAAAAAAATAAATTATAAATGTCTATGAAAGCAACCGCATTTTTTGTTTTGGTTTTTTAACTGAGCCAATTTGACTGAATAAAAATTTGATGACTATATGCATATAAAACTATATACATTGGTACATATAAGCATGGCGTCGATGTACTTGATCAAATGGTAAAAAATGTTTATTATATTTTTGTTACAATAAACATTTCATTTTAATTGCGTTGAACCTGTTTTTTCCATTTTATTGTATGATCCAAATTGGCTCACTTCAGTAAAAATAGGTATATAATCAATATCCGTAAATCTAGTGTTAACTTTAGGATAAGTTTTATGTATATGAAATTGTACCTTAATTTGCACTATGAAAAATTTATCCAATAGACAAAAATCACTGGGCTTTTGGATATTTTTCATAGTTTTGCGCTAAAACATCAGCAAAGGTAAAAGGATATTTATTGGTTAGTCCACTTTTGCCGAATTTAATTAACCCTATGTATATATTATATAACAATACATAACATGTACAATTTATACAATAGTATAACAACATAAATATAATATTCGATGTTTTTTATTTTTTGTTCATAGAAGTTGATAGAGTAATAGAACGAAAGGGTTGCCTTCTAATAATCACATTATTTAATATAAATTATTTGATACATTAAGATTCCTTTTAACAAAATTATCTAATAATGTTACCATGGCCCGTGTGAAAATATTTCTCTTATCATGGTGATTAACGTGTTAAAATTAAAATTGTCAATGGTTTATATTTATCGAAAATTAATCAGCACGATTTCCAACTGATATCTTTCTGACAGTTTTTGTAGTTCTAGAAACTAATTAAAGTGAGTCCTTGTCGATTGGCCTTTAAATTTTCGAAATCGGTGCAGCCGTTTTTGAGAAAACGGCTGCTTTTGGTATCAAACGATTCAGAATTAGCAAATCGATTTTTTAAGCGAAATCACAAACTTTTACTTCGCGAAGTTAAGAATATTGTATGTAAATAAAAACTATAACGAGGCCAATAAAAAACCTAACAAAAGCAATAAAGATGTTGAGCGCTTTAAATTTAGTTATTTATTATTTACATTTACATAATATCATGTAAACAGATTCTAAATATGGCCATTGTCATATATCACCAATAGCAATTTCTCTTTTAGTTATATAATTACGAGAATTTCTAACACTATACGAGAAACCAATAATGATCATCTTATAATATGTAATGACGTCGTTATGTCCGCGTATATAGTTTATGGGTCAAACATCATTTAAACGCCCAAGTGTTATGCTTAAAACCTACATTGACGACATCAATTTGCAGAAACATAAATATTATTAGAAAAGTTATTATAAATTTCTTTTCTCAGATATTCATCTGCAAAATCTTGTATATATAAATAAATAATCAGAATATTCAAAATATGAATATGAGAATAAATTTAAAAAAAAAAAAACAAATAAAAATAGTGAGATATTCTGTACGTCTTCGAAATGAATATCTGATATTTCAGAGCCTCATATATCAGTATGAAGCCTGAAATTTACAAACTTGAGTGCGATAAAATTATATGCATATTATTAAAATCTCTACATAATATAGATCCTAAATAAATTGAATACTTACCTAAATGGGTGGATTTTTTTAGCACCTTTTCTTTACAGCCTAAATCCAAAAAAACATTGCAGATCCTGAAATAATCAAAACATCATTAATACATTTACAGATAATCCTGAATAAGTATAAAAAACATATAAAAAGAATAAAAATAACATTTGAAAAAGTTAACATGTCTAACATTAAACATCATGGTCAAATTAAAAAATGTCTATGAGTATATTCGTTAACTAATTAATTTTTCATTTTTTCGAATTACCTCTTCCACATATATTATTTTCATATAGTTCATTTTCCTTTCAGGTGTGTTTTTCTTTGGCGGATGTGTGATGACACAGTTCCTCAACAATCGGCCTTACCCCACTTACAGTTTGGAAAATATGCCTGATACAGGATTCACCTGCCGAGATAAAATATTAGGTGGTTACTATGCCGATAGTGAAACGCAATGTCAAATGTTCCACGTGTGCGTCAAAGTCGCCGGCGTTGGGGTATCTAGTTTTTTCTATTTCCAAATTTTCAATAGCAGACAATCTTTATAAATATACTTTATTATTCAGGTTCAAGATTTCCGATTTTTATGTCCCAATGGAACTGCTTTTGATCAGGACGCTCAAATTTGTGCTGACTGGGGTGATGTCGACTGCGAAGCGACAACACTGTACTACAGCAGCGACAATTTTGATCTGTACCGAATTTCGTCGGATGTAGAAAGCAAGAGAGCACCATTCGCCTACGAAGAAGAAGCGCCATTCCATCTTCAACGGGCTGAAACTGGCGATCACCGACTTAGCAAACAACCAAAAGTGGATCAAAAACGAGGAGACGCAAATAGCGCCAAAGCAAAATTATTCAACCAATACAACCCTAATATTGCGCGCAACCAATATCAGAATCAATACAGCACAGTTGCCGTCACCTCGCCGCCGCAACAGACGACGCAGAAACCGCGTTATATTCAGGACAATTCACAAGACATCTTCCGTGGATCTCACAGTTCCAACTTCTTCAACAATCGCAATAATGGCAAAGAAGTTGAAGAAGATTACCGTGAGACACCCAAAGTTGAAAGCGATCCAAAACCATTCCAACGGTCAAACGTTAGAGTACGCACTAGGCCCGCGCAAAACCAGCCAGAAGAACAAAGTTCACATGTTATTGAGAATGAAAATCAACTGGTAAAGAAAAAGACCATACAGCGCAAAATATTGCGTAAACCGGAAGAAATTTCCACGTCGAGTCCGAGTACGGGATACTCGAGCCAAGTTTATACCTCATCAACACCATTACCGTATTTTGATAAATATCAAACTCTAAGCCGGAAAACAAACGCAGACAATTATACTCCGGCCACAACAAAGAAATTCTCCACATTGGTACCAAAAGATGTATACAGCCCGACGACTTTCAAACCGACCACTTATAACAAGGTCTCGCAAATATACAGTTCGCAAAGCACACCTAAACCATTTACAGCCCCAAGCACTTATAAACCAAGCGACTTAACTGGCGCCGTACCGAAAAAGACCCCCGCCAGCTCTACTACTCTGAAACCACAGTATACAAACGGTTTTGCTGCATCCAGCTACCTCCCAACAACTGCTAAACCCACTACAGTCAAAAATTATAAGACTACGGAATATGCGTACTCAACAAATAAACAACAATCAACAGATAATCAATACTACGTCAGCAACAAACAATTTAATAATAATCCAAATCAATTCAGCACAAATCAAAGCCCTTCGGGATTTAAAAGCTCCGTGAGCACGAATCAATACAATTCGAGTCCGAACCAATATTATAACAATCAATTCTCAACATCTGCGCTTCCTCAAGGATTCACCAGCAGACCTAATCAAGCACAAACGACGGCAAACCAATATAAATACTCGCCTGCAGCAAAAGAAAGCCAATACGACGATGGTCAGTACCGACCGGAGCAATACGAAGATGCTAAAGACAACTACTACCAAAACCGAAAAGAGGTAACAGATAACAGGCAATACTACGACAACAGCAATAATTACAATAAGGTGCCAAGCAGAGCTACAAATCAGTTCTCCCAAGACGACTTCTACCAAACGACACCTGTATACAATACCAGGAACAACTACGAATCTTCGAGCGAAGAATACATCAGGCAAAATGATCAAGGTGAGTTTCTAAAAACAGCCCATTCTCAGAACATCGCCGCCAGTGGGAATGAATTGAAAAGAAAAAGCAAAACGACAACAAAATCAGTTGAAACAAGTACGCCTGTTTCAATTCACACCACGCAAAAAACAACATATGCTTACACCGCCAAAACCTCAGTAAGTCCTAAGGCAACCACAAGGAAAGAGGCAATCGTCCAACCAGCAGTTGCTCCCGTGCAAAAACAATCCGAGCCGAACAGTAACGCACCAAAGCCACAAAAAGACAACGCAAGCTACGACTACGCCTATTACGATAACTCAGAGCATCCCGCCGATCAGAGCGATTACGAAAATATCGAAGAATTCCGAAAAACAAACAAAAAACAGTAGATGTACCATACGCTATACCAATTTGTTAATGTTATATAAGCCAGTATTTTTAATTAAATCGACCATTTAGATACAAATTCTACCAGTATTACATAATCACAATCAAATACTCGTACATCAAAATGAATCATTTATGACAATACCAATATAAATATGTATAAACTTAAGACAATTAGACTTTAGGCTTTAATCTTGTATAATTATTGTAATGTTATTATTTAAAATAATAAATGTTTTCTAGAAAATAATACAAGGACTATGTTATTTTTTATTACAGGCTTCGTCTTTCCTTGTATATCAACCGACATCTTTTATTGTGTAGTTATCAAAGAAAACCAGTAAAACAAATACAATTAGCTCAATTACACTTCAGTTACTAATATATCTTAACATTAATCTCATAATCAGTTTATTTTATATTAACAAAATATAAATATAAATGCAATACAAATTATTTAAAAATTAACAGATAAACAATTCCTTCATAAACATGAAATGAAAGTATATATGAAGGCAATTTTTCATATTCAAAATTATTCTAAATTTCTCCCGGGTTGAATTATAGTGCTGTAAATAAAATGAATAGCTATAATAATAATCGTCAAATAATTTATTTCATATTTATTTTATAAGACTGTAATATATCTCTACTAAAAAAAATTTTACATTGGTATTTCAAAAACAAAGCTCTGCGACATCAGGGTACAAAGACTTGGGAAATTAACTATTAATAACTCGATATTTCATATATTCCATATAATGTTTCGTACAAAACTCTGTTTATTAATTAATATATTAACTTAAAAACTAAGAATTCAATGTAAACTAAAATGTCAATTAAAATTGACAAACTTGCCTATATTTTAAAGAAAAAAAAGCATTTCTAACTTCAGTACTTTTTAAAATAAATCTCCCAACCTAAATAGCGCTCAAGCAAAATAACTCGGTCAGGCATTTTACAAACTTCTTGTTTTAGTTCTGACTAGTATTTTTAATAAATATTTGACATGCAAAATAATTTTTACTTGCTATATCAATTAACACCAATTAAGATTTGGTGTAACGTAATGTTAAAATGTGTGCAGTCAATAAAAAAATAACTATGAATTAATTAAAATTTTAAATTGACTTCACTAAAAAGAAAACAAACTTGTTATTATAGCTTGAGCGCTAATATTTGAAAGTCATACAGTAATAACAAACACAAGTAATATGATTTTAATTATTAGAATAAAATCATTTTTCCAAGGGCCTCTTCTGATATTGTTGAAACAACTCATCATATTTACATGCAAAAAAATATGACCATTATGAAAAACTGTATTCTGGTAAGAATATCATAAGAGCTAGTTTGTAATAACCATTATCATGATCAAATATGCATTGACAAGAAATTAATTATAAAAGGAACAAATTTATATTCTAATTTCACACAGCTTACTAGCCATGACTGAGGAATACATCTGAACCAAAAACAAAAATTTATCAGTGATTTACGCTCACAATAATATTGCAGATATAATTTTGATATGTTTAATTTAATCATATAAGTTAAAAAAAATATATCAATGTTATATAGCTTGTAAATAGTGGTTTCCATTTTTACAGCCCCCTAGCTGTGAATATCATAGTGGTACATGTAAGAATACTATAATACAAGTACCAATAAGATATTCACAGTGATAAAAGTTTTCTTAACTTGAATTTATATTTTACTTCAATCATAATAATGGCTTAAATAAAAAATGAAGTAAATAAAAATAATTAATGATATGTGACAAAAACATTTTTGCATTTGAGTGCATAAGATACATAGCGAAATTAATTAGAATTCTGGGCACAGATAATAGAAGATGTATATAACATATACAATATATCAGCAATAACAAATGACAAAGTGTCTACAACGACAGCATTTCAGATGACCAACTATGATTCATCTTGGCTATTGGTAGTATCAATTCTAAATATATCAAATCTTTTTTACCATTTATATGTATAAGCTTACTATTCCCATATCTGTCATGCAATGTTGTCATAAAAATTTACATATGCATACAGAGATGTTTATCACAAATTTGCATACATATGCTAATATACATATAAACATATAATATATATTCATATATACATATTCATATATACCTATCCCAAGTTTTACACTTTTTTTTTATTTTCCTATAACTCATTCAATATGTTCGATATTAAATATATTAATATTTATTTGTTGTTTAATGTATTTGTTATTCATTATATTAAAAACTGACTAAAAGGACCTTTTATAGTGATCTTCGTTTAGCACATTTTTTCCATATAAAAGTGAAATTTTCAAGTTGCACGTTTTTTTCTGGAACATATCTTCCATGTAAAACGAGGGATAGGTGTATATCATATCTACATATATATATATACACAAATACATGTATATACAGATATTCAAAAGACTCAACATCCAGCTGTAACAGAGTGACACTATTGATTGAACTATCATGAAAAAATTAGAAAAACATTATTTCATGCATTTTGAAAGTTATTAAGCTTTTAAGTGAAACCTTTGATCAGCATGCTTTATTTTATTATGCGTTATTTTATTTTAAAGGCCTTTAAAGTCTACCAATGTTGAAATGTTACATTCATAGTTTAACAAATCATCTTAATTCTGTCAAACTTGTGATATTATTTTTGACTGCAATCTAGAAATGTTATTCATGGTTAATAAAAATTAACCACAATAACCAAAAAATGTTTAACTACGGTTTAACCAAAACATCTGTTGATCCTTAAAAAATCATAACTTTCAAACTGCATGAGATCTTTTTTCTTCATGATAGTTATAATCAATAGTATCACAATATTTTAACTTGATGTTGAGTTCCTGGACATCTGTACATATGTAAATATACATGCTTGCATACATATTCATTCACACAGCGTAGAATACAAAACAGACTGGTGGATTGCAGGTAAAGTGCACATCATATTTGTTTTAATACCAATTAACTAATTAACCTCTGAATTATTAAAAAAGACTACCTTTTTTATGTATAATAACATACATTTGTATACCTCGTGATGAGAATAAAAAAAAATATATCAAAAGCATCCTTTACCTTCAATCCATATGTACATACATAGTTTTTGTGGAATATACATATGTATATATACATAAATACATACATGATATATACATATATATATACATATAAATTTGCTTAGATAAATAGATGAAGATACATATAAAATAGTGCAAATAAATATTAAAAATTTAACATATTTATTTTAATATGATCAATACTTATAGTTGATGATCATCAAAAAATTCATCATTTGTCAACAACTTATTAGGAAACATCACGTTGTGACAAACAGCCTAAATTATTAATTACGAAGATCAAATTCTTCAATAGATGAAATACATAAATAATTGTTATATAAAATATTTCGAATCTTTAAAATCTCATTCTACCTTATAGAAAACTAACTTGGTTCAGTTTATGTAACTTCAGCAGCAGCAGCTTCATATAACTGATGCATACCTCTATCTTAATAAATAGAATTATACACTTACAAATTATATCTATAATAAAATTTCTTATTAAATTCATTTCACAAATGTACTGCGGCTCTTTTGGTTTCATTCAAATTTTATATTACCTTATGTAATCGGTCAAACTGAAAAGTACGCATTACAACATTTCTTATTTACATTTATAAACTTCTCATAATAAATCAAATTAAAATATCACCAATTTTAACTGTAATCATTTTTAAGATATCTAGATTCAAACGTAATACGTACATTTCTTTTATGATAAAACTGTATGTTCTTTAAGATCATGGAATTAACAAATTATTACCTGTCTGCAAGCTTATAGTGTAGGATTATCAAACTTAACTCCCTTAACAACTCGTATATCACCACAAGGAACTTCTTGAGATATATCCAACACTTGAAACTTTTTCAAAACTAACAGACTGTAAAACTTCTGTGCTGCCTGTGATGGAAAATAATTATAAAATACTAAGTGATTTAAACATAAGATATTAAAATTATTTAGTATATAATTATAATAATAATATATAAAAATATAATAATAATTACCTGTTTACGGTTATTATTCCTTGCCATGTCTGATATAAATAAGTGATCCTGTTTGTAAAACTTCGTCTTAACTGACATAAACAACTGTGCAGCCCTTTTATTAAGAACTCTTTCTTCGAATTGTTCATCCGTTTCATCCACCATTTGTTCCTCTCCAGTCTACAAAGCAAATACCCATTAGTAAATTCTTTATAACAGCAAAGTAGCATTACAAGTAGAAACAATTACCAGTCCTACAGAAGGTGGGAAATCAAAATCTTCATGCCAAGGTGTTGCCACTCTCTCAGACATTGGCGGTCGGGGTGTCTGATTACCTCCCGCTAATTCATCATAACCCATGTTAGCCATTTGCATGGATTGGTTCTAAATAATTAAAATCATTATTAGGTGCCATTAAATTATTTAGTTCGGTATGTACAGAAGAAAACTAAAAACTTTCATTAGAAAACAACTGTGGGAGAAATTGTGTGGACTAATGAAATTGAGTTACAGCACAAGTAAGTCCAATATTGTTAAGATGCAGGAAATACAATCAAGGATTTTAAGAAAGATTACATTTGCAACTTGGTATGTCCCAAATTTGCAATGTGTAATAAATATGCTATTCACAATTTCAATAAAAAAAAATGTTTGGAATGCTGTAGAATGAATATTACCTCATTAAATCCAAATGAAGGAACTTGCAGAGCATCTGAATGTGCTTCTCCAAAAAATTCTGAATGGTCTCTAGGACCATCTAAAATTGAAGAAACCTGCAAAAAATAATAGAAGATAAATATGCAAGCAATCATGTGATTTATTTTAGTGAAACTAGAAGGTGACAATTACCTGATCACCCGGTATTTGAGGCAACCCAGCAACCATTGTATTAGAAAGGTCTGCATTAATAGAAGTCATA